GACAAGGGAAGAGGAAGACAAGACAGCACGAGAAGCGTTTCCTCGGCATTTTCAACATCAAGTTCACAGCATACAGGCACTGCTGGCACATTTCATCCTGATACATTGTTCAGACATCTTTAATTCGCCCTCCTCCTCCTCTGCCTCCCACGGCCTTTGTTCAAGTCTTAGTCCACTCTTCTGCCAGGGCTGCTCCGGGGCTGGCCTGGCTCCCCGAAGCCCCCAGAGGTAAATAAGAAACCCCTGCTATCCTCAGAGGCCCCCAGCCCTGTGGCGGAGAAAGATGTGGGTACAAGTAACTGTTACTCAGCTCTGATACTGAAGGCCCGGAGTGCAGGGGGGGACAGTCTCAGTGTCCAGCTATCGGACCGCTTATACAAATTGTCTCTATATGATTTTACAGTTGTTCCAAAAGATGGGGGTGGTCTTAAGCACTGGTATGAAAAACAATTCATGATTTTATATACAAGTATTTATGTATGTATATGTATGTGTGTGTTACATACCTAGCTGTCTACATCTATCTATCATCGTCAAGGACTAATAAACCAAACCATTATTAGAGAATATCTAGTGGGCTCATAAGAGACTCTCATTTCTCATTTATGCATTTAAGGATCATTGTAATTTTTATAACAAGAGTGTATGCTGTTAAAACCCATGTTCATTTTTCATCCACTCAACAGGCTTTGCTCCTGGGTACTGGGGACACAGTGAGTCACAAAGGAGACAAAAATCCCTGCCCTCAGGGAGCTGACCCTCTACACTGCAGGCAGGAATAAGTGACGTGCAGGGGTAGAGAGGGACTTAGCAGGAGGAAGGGCTGCGATGAGAGGATGCTCAAGGAAGGCTCCCTCTGTGACACTGAACCAAAATCTGAATGATGAGAGGGACCAGCTGTGCAGAAAGCGGATGGAACAGTATTCCCAGAGCAGGGAACAACAAGTGCAAAGGTCCTGAGGCACACACTCGTTTGGCTGACTCAAGGAACCATCAGGATTTGGGGGAGCTGGAGTGTGGTGAGGGAGAGGATATTGCAAGAGATGAGACCCAGAAGTTCAAGGCCAGATCCCACAGACCTCACAGGCCTCCATGAGAATGTTTGCTTTTTCTCTGAAAGTGCGATGGAAGCCAAGGGAGGGCTTTAAACAGGGATTCACATGAGATGACTTATGCCTTAAAAAGATCATTCTGACACAAGTGAATCAGGGGGCAAGAATGGAAGGAGGTAAGCAGTTAAGAGATTGTGGCAGGAATCCAGATGAAAAATGAATGGGACTTAGGCTAGTATAAAACAAAAAGATATTTCCCATGTGAAGCACAAAACTACAACGGTCAGGCACCAAGGAAGAAAAATGTGTGTCGTGGTAAAAATACCGATGACGGACAGCTATTTTTTCCAGGGGACAGGGTTGGGAAGCAAGGGCTGAGAGGGTACTGAAGAAAATGGCAGAGTGGGTGCTGTCTGTGAAGGTCTTTGAAAGCATGACTGTGGCTTGCCAGGTGGAAGGAGGTCAAGAAAAGAAGGGGAGCACTGGCCTGAGAACACTCTGAACTCAACTCAGAGGTCTTGGTGAAGGAGGAAGGGGAAGAAACGCGCATCACACACACACACACACACACACACACACACACACACTCGCGGAGTCTTGGAAGGTCTAGCTTTTCAGAAGAACCAGGCATTTAAGAGCCAAACCACTCAGGTTCAAACCCCAGCATCTTATCTGTATGACCTCAGGCAAGTCAATTAACACTCGATGCCTCAGTTTCCTCATCTGTGAAATAAGGATTAAAATGAGCCAATGCAGGGGGGGCGCCTGGGTGGCTCAGTCATTAAACGTCTACCTACGGCTCAGGTCATGATCCCGGGCTGCTGGGATCCAGCCCTGCATCGGGCTTCCTGTGGAGCAGGGAGCCCGCTTCTCCCTCGCCCTCTGTGATCTCTCTCACTTTTGCTGTCTCTCAAATAAATAAATAAAATCTTTTTAAAAATTTTAAAAATAAACCAAATAAAATGAGCCAAGGCATGTAAAGTTCTCAGAGCAGCGCTCAGCACTTAGTAAGCACTGCCTCAAGCCAATTAGCGTGAGTCCCATGATTATTGCCATATCTGGAGGACCAGAAGGTAAGTCACAGAGGGAGCGCGTGCAGGGATGAGAATGCAGGAGGAGAGTGTGCTTTGGGAGAGGACACACCTGGGCTCGAACACCAGCCCCAGACTCCCGCTGTGGCCTCAAACCACACACGCCACCTCCGCAGCTAGGGGTCCGCGTCTGTGAGACAGACAGTCCTGATGGGAGGTGAGCACAGGATCTGGAGGGCCAGGTTGGGGATGGGAGGCTGTGTGACAAAGCCCGCTGATCCAAGGGACAGCTGACGTGCTTGACAGGCAGTGAGTACGTGCAAATCGTCCTGCCACTTGGTGGCAAAGCCAACCCACTCAGCCTCCTTATAAACATTTTTACACACTCAGCCAGAAGGTCCGTGGCGTGGCCACCAAGCCCCAAAAGAAAAATCACAAGGCCAGTAAAACACAAAGATACCATCTCTCTGGGGCTCTCGGGCCTCCTAGAAGAAACAAGAATAAAGGTCAAATGTCCCCAAGAGGAGGACAAGCAACCCACGTGCCACCGTACAGGGACACACGTGTACACTCTCCACATGCGCTCACACATGCGTGCACACACCCATGCAGGTTCACCCTTGGAAACACACACATGCACGGACTCAGCCGGGCACGCGAGCCCATACACGTTCATACGGGCACATGTGTGTGCATGCTCAGCTACCAGCAGGCGTGCGGGCACACGCAGGAGACCTGTGTGCACCTATCCACGGGAGCACCTGCTCGTGCGTGCATACGCTCACCCTGCCCCTGACACACAAGCACGCTTACGCGTGCACACCCAGGCGGTGCTTCCTAGAAGCCAGACGGGGAGCCCAGGGGGCCCCGGAGCTCCAAGGTCTGGCGGTTTTTGGCTGAGCCCTGGTGAGGGGCCGCCCCCGGGTAGGGGCTTGTAAGACGCAGGACAGCAGAGGGGTTTCTGAAGCCTGGGCTCGGCCCCGCCTGGGGAGGGACTCTTCAGGTGGCTTCATGTCTGAAAGGCGCAGATTCCTCAGCTGGCAGTGGAGTGAGTTTGTCATCCTCTTCCTCCCAAGGTCCTTCTCGTTTACTGCCTGGGAGCACAGGGCTGAGCACGGAGGGACCGCGGCTTGGCGCGCATGCGCATGTGTTAGCTGTGGTATTCCTCGCGCTTCTTGACCTCAGCTTGGAAGCCGGGCCCCAGATGCTCAGCTCAAAACTTTAGGAGTGGCCACCTGCAGCAGCCAAACGGGGTGCCGTCGCTGAGAAACCAGGAAAGTAACTGAGCCAGCAGCTCCCCGCTGCCTAAAGCCTGCTCAGCGGGGTGTGGCTAGGCCTTTTCCTATGCCTGGGGGTCCCCTCCTCACGAGCTGCCACTTGGCTGGAGCTCACCAAGGGGATAGTGTCTGCAAGACATGAACCTCACCAGCCTCCATGGCACATGGCCCCCTCGCCCGTGCCGCCTCTACCAACACCCGGGATGGGTCAGAGACAGGATGTCTGACCCTTCAGACACTCACCGCAGGGAAGCAGGGAGCCCGGCCCCACCAGCAGGGGGCGTCAGTGCCCCCCCAAGCCCTGGTTGAGCATTTCTCCTGAGCCAGGCACCCAAGATTCCCCCTTGCTGGGACAGTTTCTAGGACTGGACTTCTGCTTCAGTTTCCCCACCCTGGCACCCAGAACCAGAGCTCTCTCCTAATCTCCAGGCTATTGGAAGACACCAGCACACCTGCTCTCTCCTGGCTGTCCTCCTTGGCGGCAGGGACTAGGCAGGTCCGGAGGTGGCCAAGCCCCTATGTTCCTTGGCCAGCATGTCCTCCAGCATCTGCTCCCTTGCTCTCCCATAAAAATAAAGCCCCTGACTTAGCTGAGCGCATGGCTGCCAGGATAACGACCTCATTTCCCAGCCTCCCTTGCAGCTGAGTCTGGCCCTGGGATCAAGCTCTGGCCAAGGAGGCATGAGCAGGTGCTATGGGCAACTTCTAGAAACCTTGGAGCTGACATGCAACCTTTGCCTTTTCTCCTTTGCCCCCTCTAAGCTGCTGCCCAGAAGGCAGGTGTGACAGCTGGAGCACCAGCTGCCATCTTAGACCATGAAGACCGAAGCACAGAGACAATGGAAAGGGGCAGCAAGGTTCTGGACCAGAGCCATCCTGGATTGCCTACTTTAAAACTTTAGATTTTATTTATTTATTTGACAGAGAGATCACAGGTGGGCAGAGAGGCAGGCAGAGGAGGAAGCAGGCTTCCTGCTGAGCAGAGAGCCCAATGTGGGGCTCGATCCCAGGACCCTGAGATCATGACCTGAGCAGAAGGCAGAGGCTTAACCCACTGAGCCACCCAGGCACCCCCTACTTTGAAACTTTAATAAAAGCAATGCACATTTCTCTTCTGAAGCCGACTATATTGGACCACCATTCCCTACAGCTAAAGCTAATCCTGACTGCTGTGCTAGCCCCACACGCGACCTGGGGCCAGCCCCTGACCATCCTATCTGAGCAGAATCTCTGCTCTCGGGCGCTGTGCACTAGGGAGTGACAGACACAGATGTGGGTGTACCTGGGTGGGTGGACTCCCCCACCCAGGTCAAATCCTGCAGCTGGGATGCAGTAACCCCAACACTGGTGTAGCCTGACCCTAGCTTCCGCACACCCATCCTACCTCCCCCCCAAATCCTGGTGTGCACTGGAAGTATGAAAGCATAATGACTCTCAGGATCACCCCACTCGGGGGAAGGACAAGGTGATCTTCCCCCTCCTCTATCCCCTTCCCGACTGCTCAAGATTATGGCTCTTTGGGGAGCCAACACCCAGGGACACTGCTGGAGAAACCCTCACTGGGCTGTGGGAAGCCACCTGGGCAGGAAGGGTCTCTGAAGGGCTCTGGGTTTGCACACCTGAGGGGGGGCCACACTTACCCTTCTCCGATGCTGGGGCCAGGTCAATGAAGCTGCGACATTTTTCACCTTCAAAAAGAAAAGAAGGATTTTCAGAATGTGAGTGGAAGTGAGAGCTTCAGGCTTTTGCCTCTCCCCTTCCCTGAGCCTAGTCACTGAGCACCAAGTCTCTCTAACCCTTATTCCTGGAAACTCAGTCTCCCTGAGGGAATTGTGGACAGCAAACCTGCAAACTCAGCTAACCAGCATCGGGGATATGGTCTCCGGGCTCACCCCCGATCCAACCCATCCAGCCAGGTGGCTTGCACCTGCTCCACGCCCTCGGGCCCCTTCCACAACCCCCACCCCATCCAGACCCAGCAGGAGGAAGGCAACCCCTCACTGGGCTCCCCAGGGCTCCACACTGTTGTGACCAGATGGATGGTCTCAGGACACATGGCTCTGATCACGTCACACATGCACGTAGGCATATACACTCTTGCTCAAACCCTCTGATGACTTCCCAAAGAATGAAGCTCAAGTTCCTTCATGGGGACCCCTACACTCAACCCAACACTCCACCACGAACCCTCACATGTGCTCTTCCCCCTGCGGGGGACACGCTTCCCCTATCATGAACTCTCAGGGTGCTCTGGCCCTCTCCAACACCAGTCACCTTATGATTCCATTTTTTGCATATGATCCTTGGGTGGGCGGCCCACAAGTTGTGAGCACCATGAGGGCGCACCTCGTATCCTCAGTGTGTCCCCAGCTCGGGAAAAGACAACTCCGTCCTCCCGCATGCTCAAGCCCAAACCTTGGCGTCAACCTTGATCTCCTTGTCTCATACCTCCACATCTGATCTGTGGCTTTGGTTTGGCAGTATATCTAGACTCCGACCACTTCTCACCCCTTCCAAGTTCCTAGCCACCATCCTCCATCTAGATGTCAAAAATTAATTGACTATAAATGGGAGACTTTATTTTGTTCTCTCAATTCTATTCCATTGATCTATATAACTAACCTCATACTGGTACCACACTGGTTTTGTTTTGTTTTTTTTTACTTTTTTTTCTGATTTTGGCCATTCTGGGTCTCTTGCATTTCCATATATGAATTTTGTGGGTTTTTTTAAGATTTACTTATTTATTTTAGGGGTGGGGAGGGACAGAGGGAGAAAGAGAGAGAATTTCCAGCAGACTTCCCACTGAGCACAGAGCTTGACGTGGGCCTCGATCCCACAACCCTGACATCATGACCTGAGCCAAATCAAGATTCAGACACTTAACCAACAGAGCCATCCAGCACCACTCTATATGGATTTTAAAATCAACTTGTCATTTCTGGGGGGAAAAAAGACAGCTGGATTTTTCTTTTAAGATTTTTATTTTTAAGTAATCTCTACCCAGTATGGGGTTTGAACTTACAACCCAGAGATCAAGAATTGCATTCTCTACTGACTAAGACAGCCAGGAACCATGCCAGTTAGAATTTTAATAGGAATTGCACTGAGTCTGTAGATCAATTTGGGGAATATTGCCATTTTAATAATATTAAGTTTTCCAATCCATGAACATGGGATGTCTTTCCATTTATTTAGATCCTCTTTAGTTTCTTCTGTAATGTTCTATAATTTATGGAATATAAGTTTTGCACTTCTATTGTTAGATTTATTCCTAAGAATTTTATTCTTTCCAATGCTATTGTACATGGGATTGTTTTCTTTTCTTTTTTTTTTTTTAAAGATTTTATTTATTTGACACACAGAGAGAGAAATCACAAGCAGGCAGAGAGGCAGGCAGAGAGAGAGAGAGAGGAGGAAACAGGCTCCCTGCTCAGCAGAGAGCCCGATGTGGGGCTCGATCCCAGGACCCCGAGACCATGACCTGAGCCGAAGGCAGAGGCTTTAACCCACTGAGCCACCCAGGCGCCCCGGGATTGTTTTCTTAATTCCATTTTCAGAGTATTCATTGCTACAGTATAAAAATATGATAATTTGATGTATATTGGTGAGGTACCCTGAAATCTTGCTGAATTTTCTTATGAGTTCTAATAGTTTTCAGTGGAGTCTTATGATTTACTATATACAAGTTCATGTTATCCACAAATATAGTTTTACTTCTCCCTTTCTAATCTTGACATCTTCTATTTCCTTTTCTTGCCAATTTCTCTGGCTAAAATCTCCAGCATAATATTGAATAGAAGTGGCAGGAGCAAATGTCCTTGTCTTGTTCCTGATCTTAGGGAGAAATCATTCTTATACTATGAAGTATGATGTTTACTATAGGTTTTTCATAGATAATCTTTACCAGGTTGAGGACATTCCTCCTATTCCTAACTTGTTGAGTGGTTTTATTGTAAAATTGTGTTTGCCTTCTCTTTGATCCCATAATAACCTGCAATGATGCAGCTCTGAGAATCCCTATTTAGAGACAAGCAAACTGAGGCTCTGAGCTTTCAGTGACTTGCCCAAGACCACACAGCCAGTAATGATGGAGCAGTACTCAGTCCAAATCTGTAGACTTCAAATTCCATACCCTAAAACTTTTCCAGCTATCTATTCCAATTTGCTATGTCAGAACTTCCTACTGCAGCTGGCCATTCCCACTGAGTAGAGCTGCCAGATCCTGAAAGGAATCCCCCTGAGAACATTTACCCCCACACACACCAGTGTAGACAGGGAAAATCCACCAAGGGCCAAATGAAATGGCTCTCACACTTCTATTTCTGCTACAGGGACAAGACTGAATAGAAGATGTTTGAGCAGACATGGTCAATGCTGAAGTTTAAGAAAAAATCATAGTAATGACATAAGGAAGAATGGATATTTCAGTGGTCTAATAACTGAAATCCAAACACAGAGGGAGTTTTTTCTCCAAACCCTGTTCCTCGTGGTAAAAATTGGCTAACCATTTGTGTGGTTAGCCACACTGTACCATATTGTCTTATTGCTTTTAGAAGTAGCCTTTAAAACATCTTCGTCAATTATCATTAAGTTGATATGTTTAACTAAAAGACTTAATTGGGGAATAAAACTAAAGACAAGAGCACTTTATCTCTTCAGACTGAGGCTTGTCAATTAGATCATGGAGCTGTGGCTTGTTACTGACACCTGATGGCGGCGTACCTTCTGTGAACCCTAGAACATGAAAGCTGGGAAGGATCCTAGAGTTCATCCAACTTAAGTAAGTGGTTCTCAGCCCTCGCAAGCCCAAGCCTCACCCAGAGAGACCGTGATTTAATTGATCGCTGTGGGGCCTAAACTTCCGTGGGGTTTTAAAAACTCCCCAAGTAATTCCAGCATGCAGCGAGGCTGAGATCTGTACTCCAATCTGACTTGTAAAAAAAAAAAAAAATCTATTTGCAACATTAAAAAAACAAGAGTAAGTCATCTTAGTGATGGATCGTAGTATTGTAATGGACACTCCTCCAAGCAACAGTGTCTGTGGGTCAGAACAGCAGAGGGGACAAGAACCTAAGTTCTGGGATCAGCAGAGCTGGGTTCAAATCCCGGCCCTGTCATTTCCTGCCATGTGAGTTCCCAGTCTTTCTGTGCCTTGATTTTCTTGAATTTTTAATGGGTATAGAACCTATAGGGGCATTGTAAAGACCTGACAGGGGCACAGCGCTTAGATATGATGCCTAGACCAGAGCGGGTGCTTAGGAAGTGGTGGCTATTGTCATCATTGTCAACAAACAGGACTCAGAGGAAACAAGGGGCATGGCCTCTGCGGTCTACTGAGAGATCAGACTGATGAACAGACCACCATCATGGTGGGTGGAGGTGAGGAGTAGGGCTGAGAGCAGAGCTCCTGTCGCCAGACCTGCCTGTGTTCAGCGTGGCTCCATCACTTACTAGACGTATGACTCAATATATTAACCTTATGGTGCCTCAGTTCCCTATCTGTAAAAGGTGAAAACCACCAATGCTAGTGTTTCCGTAGTACCTATAACAGAGTGGACCAGTAGGCATGGTGGCCACCACCAGGTGGTACAGCTAGGGCAGCTCAGTGGGCAGGAATCCACACTGCCAAGTGGCAGCGGCAAGGACGGGACGTATGGTTCCCCCATGAGTTTGTGCCTGGGATGTGGCCCTGCACTGTCCCATGTCTTCCCCAAACCTATGGACACTGTCCAGTAATTCCCTTATTTTTGTCCCTTGAAGTTGCCCTCTCTCCCATTGCTGCCTCTCACTCTGATTCCCTTTGGCTCACAGTGAGCTACTAAGAAGCTACTAAGAATTGAGAAGGCCAAAGAGAGCATCTCATCCCCTGGAAGGAAAGTTCCCTAAAGACCCACTGTGTTTGTTCCCAGAGGTCCACTGGAGGGTAATGCTGTCCCACTTCAGAGAGGACGCAGAAAGCGGGAATTTGTGCAGGAAGAGGGTGGGTCCAGCAGGGAAAATGTTTTGGGGATCCACGAGCTACAGAACCTCCCCAGACCCCTAAGGAGATGTCAGAAACTTCCAGGAAACCAATCTGAGAAAGCTGGACATCGGGTTCTGGGCTCAGAGGCTTAGCAAAACTCCTGCACCCCTCTGGAACCAGAAAACCATTAGTGCAGGGAGGAAGAAGGGCAGGAAAAAACTAGAAGGCTCTCCCCCAAAGTTCGGAAGACTTCCTGTGCCCCAGGGGCTGACGAGAAGCCACAATTATGTGGGGCCTGAATTTCTCCCTACCTTGGAGAGGGGAAGCTCAGTCCGATTAGATTCGAGAAATAAAGTAATGGGAGATTCCTTTCCTGTAAGAAGTGAGCGTACGTATTCATACCCACACAACCTCCTGTAAGGGGTCCTCATCTCTGCACCTTGCCCCAAGACAGGTGACCGATGGGGGGGCTTGGTGCCTAGGCCCAGTGCAAGGGTGGCTGGCCCATTCATGAGATTTCAATGGCTGGCAGTGACCGAGGCAAGCCAGAGGGGAGTGGGTAACCTAGCGAGGGTGTACCCTGTCTAAAGGAATATGAAGTGACCTCCTGGCCATCTGGACCAGTCGGGCACCCCAGAAAGAGCTCACTGAAGACAACTGAGTGAAGGGAGTCTTCCCGGAAGGGTGGACAGGGGTGAGAGCCTAGCAATAGCAGATGTGGCT